GTCGAATTCTCCTCTCCAGTACCCTGGCATAGACTTTCCCGGGGAGGCTGAGGAGTGTGATCCCCCTATAGTTGGAACACACCCTCCGGTCTCCCTTCTTAAAAAGAGGGACCACCACCCCGGTCTGCCAGTCCAGAGGCACTGTCCCCGACCGCCATGCGACGTTGCAGAGGCGTGTCAACCAAGGTGGCGAAACAACATCCAGAGACTTAAGGTACTCAGGGCGGATCTCATCCACCCTGAGTAATGTAACTAAATACATTTATTTGAGTGGTGTACTTAAATCCAGTTTTGAGATAGCCCACTTGCACTTTACTTATTTTATTTTGATTTTGTACCTTGGTACTCCACATCATTTTTAATTACTAGTTACTAATTAATCTTAAAAGTATCAACACAAATTCTAAACACCTAATTAATCACGTTTTATTATGCTGCCCAGCCGAATATAAAGTAATGAAAACTAGCCTGCTCATGTGAAGTAGGAGTACCTTAAAAGATGTAGGCTACTGTACTTTAGGGCCATAATTCAATAAATGTGTAGGCACTGCTCAGATGACACGCAATAACATTAACAGTGCACAGGCAGATGCACATTGCAACTGATTGCACGTCTCCATCTGAAAGCTGACTTTTTGACATTGCACACACACCTGACCTTAATAAAACGTGAACTAAGTGAATTCTTCAGAATGTGACAAAAATGACCATACTGAATAACTGATTACCTCAAATTAAGTGAATAATATAAGTACATGAAACTGGTGATAGTTTACAAAGCTGCAGAGTGAGGTTAAATTAACTGGTGGAGGCTTATTTGTTGTTTTCCATGTAAAGCTTGATCTCAGTCTTACTAAAAAACACTTCCAATAGAGTTGTTATGGCATTCAAACCAATTATGTTATTAAGGATTGTTATAATGCGATTATAGAGCTTGAGAGCGGCGATTGTCTCTTTAAGAAGCAGTGAGAGTGAGAGGAGGTGGTGCGGTTTCACACCCCGGTGTGGAAAACATAGGCGGGGCAACAACCGCCGACTGACAGCTGCATGAAGGCTCTCCAACTCCTCGAGGCACCGACAACCCGCAACGACCAATGAAATTAGGACTTGACCTGCCCGTCAAATCCTAGCAGCCAATCGCGAGGAGCCATGGGAGGACCCTGGAAGCGCTGTTGTGCATCCAACGTGGGACTACGGAACGACCGCTCCGAAAAAAAGGAAAAGTAGCGTAACTCAAGAAAGGAAAAAACTCATGGTAAATGGTAAATGGCTGGTACACTGTCGGAAGGAGGGGGGCTGTGATTTACTATTAATCGGATCGACGAGATTTTGTGACCACAAACTGTACCTGATAAGCTGCTGGCTGAGTTCTTATGGAGCGGACGGAGTGTAGCTATTAACCTTATTTCAAAGTTTGCTTTTGTGCGGCTACAGCAGTGAAGTGCTTTGGGGTTTGAACACAGGCAGCGCTCGGTTTAAGAAAGCAACGCTGGAGTTTTCGGCACTATTCCTGCGGGTCTTAACTTATTTTACAACATCTTCAGCTTTGCAGTGGACATTAGATAGCACCACCAGAAGTCACAGTGCACCCTTTTTGCTAGGTTTTAAAGAGTTTTGACTTGGCTCTGTTGATCAACAGTTAGTTTGGGAGGTTTACGGGAGCACGGTGTCCTTTTGCTGCTGCATGTTTTCAAACATGTCACTAAAAGCAGTGAGCCTGTCGAGAACGTAGTTTCAGCCTTTTTTGGACGCCGTAGCCTACTTTTGGTGGTTAATCTGTGAATCACCTTTGGTTTCCAGCCCGCGTCGGAAAGCAGTGGACAAAGTTGGACCGGGGATCTTGTGTCCTAAATGACTGTAAATGGGATGAACAACCTTTTGCTGCACTGCCGTTGTTTATACACTTCTCCATGAGTCGGGCGGACAGTTAATGTGCTGTACATTAATTCAGTGTCTCCGAAGCTACGTTAATATTCCAGTTTGTGGATACAAGGAGAGACCTCAGCGGCCGCGCTATTAAAGCTGGATACAAAATGGCGGCATCCCTGGGACGATTAGGAGACATTTCTCGTTGTGTTATTTATTTAATTTTAGTGGCCGAACTGTTTAATAGTTATGGATTCTGTTCGGATCTGCCGTGTGCCCAGAACTGTACCTGCAGCGGAGACTCGGTGGACTGTAGCAATCTGGAGCTGACAGCTACGCCTCTGGACCTTCCAGCCCGGACTGTTTCCTTGTAAGTAAGCGCTTAGTCCCCCCGTATGTTCATTCACCAACCCATAACGGGGTAACAGTGTTTTTAAAGTAAAGTAGAAACTTTTGTCAGAGACACAAATAAATAGCCATTAGGCAATGGAGCAGAGTCAACAGGGCTTTCTTTCCCGGAATCCCGTCTGAGAAGAATTTGGCGATCATGCTTTATTGTCTGTTAGCTGTTGCACGGAGAACTGGGGCAACTGTCAGACTGGGATTCCTTCTTCATAACATTAACTCTGAGCGAGCTAGTCAGGAATAAAGTTGAACTGTTCCTAATTTTGCTGGGGGCCCACTCTGGAAACCAATAAAAACACACTTCTCCCAAAGCTGTTAAAGATCATGTTGTAACTTGATTAGGAATGTCATGAATTAAACAGACAGGGCAACCCAAGTGAAATAAATTCTTATTTGAGTGTGATAGAATCCAGTGTCTGTTTCACTGTTGCCTAATGACGTTTTGGATTTTTGTTTATTTCATTGGGCTTCTATTTATAGCAATATAACTGGTAGTATCTTATATCTGCAGAGAAGAGGGACATGCACAAATATTCATACACCTTTCATACTCTATTCGTCATATTCTGTCTAAAAATATGTTAATGTTACCAGCATTCACATGAACAAACTGTTCCCTCCGAGTAAACAAATAGACCCATGCATGTCAGAATAAATAAAACATCTTCATCATTTATTCAGATTTATGACAGATATTATACTAATCCCTGTTTCTGCGCTGCCAGCCTTTCACAAATTTAATTTCTTGTAAATGACGCATAGGCTCCTCAAGGTAAGAGTGACAGCAGCTGAAACCCTGTCTGTCAGCTCATTTAGGAAATCAGCCAGTTTGAGGCTTTTAAATTTTTTTTTGTTATTGTTAAACTCCATACAGTGTTTAGGGAACTTCAGCACTTATCATGCTGAATGAAAAGTTATTTACAGACAACACTATTCTTTGTCCTCCCAATCAACATTTAATTGCTCAGTACTGCAACCAATACATACAGTGGCAGTAGTGACTCCTCAGTGACAATTAGACATCTTGTAGCAGAGCTTTCAACATCTATGTGGGGTTACAGAACAAGGACATAAGGACAAATCTGGCTCCCAGGTTCCTGTGTTAGGTAGCTTATCTCCCCCATGGAAATGAGGAATGCAACTTTTAAAAATTCCTCTAAAACAGGACTAATGGCACTTATGCTTGGGTAGCCCGATAGCGCTGAAGCACCACTTAGCCAATGCACACTGCTCCTCCTGTCTCTGTGGACAATGGACAGCTATAGTGGGACAAATGTCCAAGCTGAAACAGCTGCTCTAAACCTTTTGGTTTGTGTAATGACAGGTTCCTGTTTGAGGCTAGTCTCGCTTTGAGTCTACTTCTTTTATCTTGGCCAAATCTTATCAGTCAAGATGTAAGGACCCGCCGTGCTGTTGCTTTGAAAGGGAATAGTTTTATAGCTTTGAAATTATCTTTTAAAACACCTAGGTTGCACATTTCTACACCACTTGAGATAGTCACATATTGTTGGCAGGTAACTCAAAGGGAAGGGAACCAGCTCTGTTCCTTGGGGGTCTGTAAATGAGCCAGATTAGTGAATGATTACTATTAACCCAAAGAGACAAGTATGGACAATTTCACTTGTGGCTCACTGTGATCACATTATGGCAAATCCTGTCCACTTGAGTGGATTAAATTATTGTTTGTGTAGTGGTTTGTAAGTTATTTAGGTTATGGGTACAAAAATGTGTGTGCTGCCTGTGGTGAAAAAAGGGAAACTGTAATTGCAGTGTTGTAAATGACAAGCTGATTAAGCAAGGGTTATAGCACAGTGCAGCAGTAATAGTTGAAGCTGTCAGTTCCACAGTGCCTTGGTTTTAAACAAAGTGGTTGTCCATTTCTACTGTCAGGCATCCTAGTCAAGTGGTATCGGTGTTAAATCCACTGTCTCTGTTACGTTTACCCTAGGGAGTCAGCAGCAGCTGTATGGTAGGGAGGGCGATACTGAGGGATGTCGGTGAACATAAGTCACCCATAGGCCTGCTTTTCTTACTCTCAGTTACATAATTCAGATGTAAGAATCCAAGGAAAATTTCCATAACTCTAAACACCTGTAGGAGTTGGCAGTTAGGTCAATAGTTAAAACATCTTACTGCAGGTATTAATCAACAAGAAACCATCTAATTAGTCATACATTTACATGTGTTCAGTATAACCACTCACTGGCTTTAACAGTTCTGCTTTGATGCCAGAAAAATACAGATAGTTCAATCATAGATGATAAATGCAACTTAAAATGAATGTAGATTTCTCACCCTTTTGTGTCGGTGAGGAATGATCGTGCTGTCACAGAGCTGTGACAGTTATCTTTATACAGGCTCTTAAATTGGGATTACAGTAATGAAGAGCGCAGTAGCAGCCTACTTCAGGAGTTGCATTTATACAGCGGCTCACAGAAGGAAGTCGTTCTGAAGGAGAGTCGTCCTGCCTTCACCAGAATGTTGGAGAGTTGCAGATGTTTATGAAATTTTGTGCAGGTGACAAATGATATTGGTGACATATTGACACTTTGAGGGAGAAGTGGAGGTATAAAATGCCAAACAGTCTTTTTTTTTTAAATGACTGGGGTATGAAATAAGGAAGGAGGCATTGTTGTTAGAAAGTACTGACTCCACAGAAAACATTGTCTTACAGTTTAGTGTTTGTGTCAACAAGAAAATATCTTCCCACCAGCAAACATGAATTTAAAAAAGCTATTAGGAAAACTTGTGGTCTCCTGGGTTTTGTCAGTATAATGAAGAGGTCATATAAATTTATTGCTTCAAGCGTAGGTGGGAATTTCTCCAGCTGAGTCTTTACTGAGTTAGCATATAAAAATGATTATAGCTGCTTTAAAAAAAAAAGGAATTCTGGTTAACCCATAATATACAGTGTTGGGTCACAATCTGGCGTGAGCTTAGTGCAAGTAGTTCTCTTACCCCACAAGTGGCTCTATGTTTTGTTTTTTCTTTATAATACCACTCAGCTTTCTAACTGCAAGACATGATTAATTTTAATTTCAAGGCCGTCAGTCACCTCATTTCCTCCTGTGATGTAGCACTGTTATTAGTCACTTGCAGTGCACTTTGTAGGAGTGATTCTGGGGAACTTGATGAATATGTGTTCAGAGACCATGTGTGGCTAGAGGGCACAGGTTGGCAGTTTATCCATCAGTAGCAGTCCCAGCAGTCCTGTGGCTCTAGGTGAAGAAAAACGGCCCAGCGCTTACCACTTGTCAAAATAATCTCCCATCAGAACCCTGATTTTAATGGTCCCCTGTGAGAAAGTGGCCTTGATGAGGATTCAAGCGAAACAAAGCCGTTGGCACATCCTGGCAGAGCACACTGAGTTAACAAGGAGAGATGGTGACGGCTTGAGGGTTTGCTAGAGTCATGGGAAGATGTTTGACTTTGTTTGGGGAAAGAAAGCATTTCACTGTATTAACAACTTACTGGTATTTCTTTCTTTCTTTCTGCTGTGTCAATAGACTGATAATGTATTGCAAGGTCTTAAGAGTTAATTTCGGAGGTTAAAGGCGGATCTAGCCTTTTTTTAAAGTCTCAGCAGCCATACATTTTATTTGTCAAACATATCCTTTGCTGTTTTACATCAGTGCTTCTAACATTTAATAAACTGACCACCAGTCTCAGATGCTTGTCCATTGTTTCTGATTGATGAATAGCCTAATAACATTCAAAGCAAGTTTGCTCTCACGCAGTCACATATTCCCTTTTAGGAGTGGTGCCTTATCTTATTTGCAGCCATGGTAATGTGGATGAAAAGCATTTTAGCCCACAGTGCCACCAGCGTAATGGGATTTTGCAAGTAAATAAAAGCATGAGCATTACTAACTTTCACTGGGATCGCTGTGGGTGGATAGAGATCAAGCAGATTCATGGTCTCTGTTCACCAGCTTCTCTCCACCTTTTCTCATGTGAGATTGTAAAACCTTTGTCTTCGACTTTTACAGAAAGCGACAGGTTTTTATGGACTATTTTCATTTGCCAGTGCTGAGTCCTTGTATCTCCACATTGGTGAAAAGCAAGAGGCAGCCTGATCTTGGAAGATCCTGTTTGTAACATGTTTCCCAAGTCCTAAAGTGTTGGCCATAATGCTTGGTGTATACTGAATGTTTTGCTGTGGCTCAACCCAGAGCCATAGCCTTAAACCTCACAGTACAGCCTTATTGGTAAACACCACCCCAAGAAGTTGGTTTTGGCTTCTGCCCTCAGGAAATTGGTTTGTGTTGGTGGTTTCCTGACAGAGGCTGGGAGCTCAGCTGGCTGGCTGTGGGACTGCTCAGCAGATCACCTGGCCTGGGGGAATATGAGAGGAGGTGGGGGGGACATTTTCCGCCCACCGCATGGAAGTGTTTTGTCAATGTCACGGTCTGCTGCTGCTGCCTTCAGGCTAGTTCCACTAGTTGGTGAAAGTCCTGTCAGTGGTCAGAAACCTCAACCACCATCACACATGTTGCAACACACAGAAGAAACCCAGAGGAAATGAAACATCACAGGACCGTCTGCTGCTGTGTCACATACTGTCAGACACAAGTCCCCTTATTTTTAGGCAGTGTTTTACTTAATCTTTTCCACAGTAGGACTAGGCTTGCTCCTGTTTCAGTGTCTTTATCATGGTTTTACTATTCCTTATTGTGTTGTGAGCTTGAACCTGATGCACAACATGAACACTAAACTGCAGAAATTTAAACAGATGAACATTTGTGCAGCTGGGGCAGAGACACAGCAGCACACAGCAGGGCTGAGCACTTTGTGGTTTCTAGGGCATTTCTTGCTATGGAGCCTTATAATCTTGTGGTACTGGGGGAGTGATTATAACAAGTTGTTTATTGTCATAGTTTCCTTAGTCTTGTGACTCGCACATACCTCTGGCAGGTATTTTAAAGTCACAACTCAAGTGATTGGAAGGATTTAGGATAAGATTGT